ACTCCTGAGAAACAATTTCAACCCTTAAATTGATCAAGATAATTCAATTTAAGAATGAATTAAACCATATCTCAATAAGAACAATACAATGAAATAATACCTATTAGAAGTTAAGGCACTTATGGACAAGATTATGATAGCTGGTTCTAATATTGATCTAGAGGATGTCATCCTCTATACTCTCAATACCTTCTCATTTTCATATCAAACCTTTAAAACAGCTATTTGCACTAAACTTCAGCCTATCAACAAGGATGATCTCTATTGCCTTTTTTGTAAAGAAGAAATCAGCTTAGCAATTGAGAGATCCAAAAATGTTTTGGCAACTGATAATTGGATTGTATTTTCGGTCTCTAGATAAAGTGGTAACATTAGAATGAAGGCACATGTTAGAAGAAACATGTTCCCTATGAAAGAGACATTAACAGTGGCCTTAAGAAGGAATAGAAAAAGCACTAGGGAAACCATTGGTGTTAAACTTGTAACAAGATCAATCACTCTGCTTTGTTGTTGGCATCGGACGAATCTAGAGTATGCTCCAACCATAACACCACAAGCTGTCACTGCTACCTCTCAGAAATGAGTGATGGATTCATGTGCAACAGCCCATCTCACTATAGACATGAGTCAACTTAAAATAGCGAAACAATATCATGACACTGAACATATTGTGGTTAGTGATGGACAAGTTGTTCTGATTTAGCATATGGATGATGGGTTTTTCCTTTTGCCCCTTCAAAAGCTTAAACTATCATATATCTATCATGCTCCCTCTTTATCCCATAATTTACTTTAATTCAAAGGCTCACTTAAGATAATAATGTAATGTTTCATTTGACCCATATGGCCTTTCTATTTACAACTCACAAAATCAACAGATGCTTCTTAAGGGGCCCAGTTCCAAGGGTCTTTATCCCATAGTTTTTCAGCAAAATCAACAAGCTCTTACGACTTCAACTACAAGATTACATCCTGTTGATCTTTGCCACAAAAGACTAAGTCATACTCACTTTGAGAATGCTCATACCATCTCCAGGACATAAGATCTCAAGATTCATTTATGTTTTTCATCGTGTGTCTTGCAATTTAAATAAGAGTGATAAAATAACCATTAAATTTGTCTAAAAACCATCACTATGAACATTTATAGTTGATTCATACCGAAGTGTGGATTCTCTCCCCAATCATTTCCCACCAAGGATATAAATATTACATTACTTTCACAAATGACAAATGATTTTTCCTGATTTTCCTTGGTCTTCCTATGTATCATAAATCTGATACAAATAAAAAAAATCCAAATGTTCATAAACACTGTGCAGACCCAATTTTGAGATATGATGGAGGTGGGGAATACACTAGCATGGTGATGAACAATTTCCTTAAGGATACGTGAATTATCAATCAATAATGTTCTCCTTACATTCTAGAGCAAAACAGTGACGTTGAGTAGAAACATACACCCATTATAAAGGTCACTATAACTTTGCTAAATGATTCTCAACTACCCTATACTCTATGAAAAAATATTACCTCAAGAGTATTGATGCATGAGTACTTCAATGGCGGGGTGCCACGTGGCGCCACGGTGGGACCATTGTATACGTGGCACCTCACCATTGGAGTATTGATGCATCAGTACTCTTGAGGTAATAGTTTTTCGTACTCTATGGGATGAGGCTCTTCAAACAACTGTACATATCATAAATAGAATGCTTACTCAAACTGCTAATCAAATTAGTCCCAATCAACACCTACATGGGAAGTAACCTTCATGCATGCACTTAAAAGTGTTTCGGAGTCGGCATTACTCTTAGTGACAACAACAATCAGCTCATAAACTCATTCTCAAGTCGGTCATTAGCATTTTTTGTAGGGAATACTTCAGCCCATAAGGGGTAAAGATCTTACAATCCTCTCACAGATAAGATAATTATCTCCCACCATTTGGCTTTTAATGAACACCATGTAACTTATAAATGTGATGTTGTTGCTCGACTTACAGTACCAAAATAAGCTTCCCCATCACATCTCTCCACTTCTATTTGCCCCCACGACCCATGCCCTTACTCATGCAACCATTCTCATACCAAATACTACTCCTGATTCGACCCTTATATCAACTGCTTCTCTTGTATCCACTTTAAACAATCTGCATAAGAATGAGCAACTTGAAAATATTCAAAAACCTACTTCCACATCTGATTCCCCATATCCAAGACCTTTCATGAATCCTACTCATTCTATGCTCACTATATTAAAGATTGATACCCTCAAACCTATCCAAGAACTTAATCCAACATATTTTATTGCTTTGATGTTAGATCCCGCATGTTATACACCAGCCGTCAAGCATATTCAATGGAGAAAAGCTATGGCAAAGAATTTCAAGCCCTCTAACAACAAGGAACTTGCTTTGTGGTTCCTTCTCCTTGTAAATAATCCATTCTTGGGTCTAAATATACATATACCATTAAATTCAATGTTAATGACCAGGTTGTTGGGTACAGAGCTTGACTTGTGGTTGAATGTTACAAACAAGAGTTTGGGATTTGAAACATTTAGAACGATTACTAAAACTTCTAATAATAGGTATTATTCATTGTAGCTCTTCATAATAGTTGGTAGATCTTGTTACTTAATGTTTCTAATTTATTTTTACATGATAATCTTCATGATACCATCTATATTCATCAATTACAAGGATTCCAAGACACTCGACTCCCCAAACATATTTTCCTTCTCAAGAAGGCCCTTTACAATCTCAAGCAAGCTCCAATATAAAGCTTTAAAAGACTATCTATATTTCTCATTGGAGAATAATTTACTAGCAGTAAAGTTGATCCATATTTGTTCATATATTATTAGGATAAAGTGAAAATATTTGTTTTAATCTATTTAGATCATATTTTAGTTACGGGGAATTATATCTCAACTATATCCAATTTTATATATAATCTTGATTTAAGCTTTTAGCTCAAACATCTAAGACCCGTGGCATGTTTCTTGGGCACTGAGGTGATAGATGCAAAATGAATATTTTCTAGATCAGCATAGGTATGTTCAACAACTTTTAAGCTTGGCTGGGATGCAAAATTGCAAGGCAGTGGCCACTCCCTTACCTACTAAGGATTTAATTCAACCAAAAGAAATGATGTTATTCCATAGTCTCAGTTTCTACTGTCAATTGACATGATCTTTAAAATACTTAATGACTACCAGACTAGATATATCATTTGCTATCAATTATATATTTCAACATATACATAAACCAACGATCTATAATTTCCAACTCCTTACCAAACTTCTTAAATACGTTCAAGGGACTTTGAAATACGTCCTTGTTATTAAGTAGAGTAATCTAACTCTAAGGAGGTTTGTGTATGCTAATTGAGCAAGTGAAAAAAAAATGACCGAAAATCTACAAATGGGTTTTGTTCCTTTCTTAGACAAATGTTGACCTCATGGAACCTCAAGAAGCAAAATAATTTGTCAGATCGTCGATTGAAGTGGAGTATAGAGTTCTGGTTGCAACTACCCTGATATCTTATGGTTGTGCATGCTTATGCAGGAATTCGATGTTCGGATCACACATCCTACCTTGATATTTTGTGAGAAAATATCTATTATATCTTTGACTAATAAATTAGTGTTTCATATGTAGGAAAAGCACATTAAAATTGATCATAATTTTATCAGAGATCATATGAATTCGAAGCAAATTTTTGTTCATCATATGAGCTCTCAAGATCAAATGGTTGATATACTTGCCAAACCATTATCTTGCCACAATTCAATGTACTACATACCATGCTAATAGTTCAGCCTAAACCTATTAGGGTGAAGGGGGTAATAAGAATGAGAACTTAGCTGAAGATTGTAATAACTAGATTATAAACTATTTGGTCTAAGGTCTGTAACTTTGGATTTTGTGTAGGTTTTCATAGCAGACTTGCAGTCTATATATTGGACCTACCATCCTTATGATTTGGTATTAACATTCAATTGTTATCTCTATGTCATTATTATATACCCATCACCTTATATATGAAAAAAGTATTCTTTTTAAAAAGCTAAAATGGTGATATTTTTAATGTAATATGAAAGATTTGAGTTATACAAAAGTAAAAAAAATATGTATATATTTGAGATGTTCAAAATGTAAGTACATAGAAATTATGCCCCTTTTTCTTTATTGTGATAATGTTAAGAATTTAGTAAAATACAATAAGTGAAATATTTAAAAAAAATTTATGTCTAGACTCCATAAGAAGATAAAGAGAGAAATTAATATCATCTTATAATTTTGTGTTGTCCTCAATTATTTTATGCCAATTAAGCATGATATACTTCTAGATTTTTTCCTTATTGAAAACTGAATTGTGTAGTAGTGATCAAAAAAATAAAAAGAAAAATTATAGAAATAGCTAGAAAAGGTGGCACCTTTGCTATTGTTTGCGTGTATGTGTGTAAAATTTGAAGTTTATTAGGTGTTAGATATGTCAATAGATATGAATTGATTCGTATGCATATAAATTGTCAAAAAATTAATAGTAAAACAAATATGTGGCAAGGCCTCTCAAAGGTAAAGCAATAGTAAAGCTTTCCGGATCCTTAAAAATATTAGGCACGGAGTATGCATTATTGAACTCCGTGCACAACAATATTGCACATCATTGTACCCAAGCATACAATAGTGTACAACACTGTTTTACAAGGCGTGCTCATGCATGCAAACTCCACAAATAATATTCTCTCCATAAGTTTGTAGTATACCTAGTATATTGACAGCATTTTTTTTTTCCAGTCCAACTGTTACAACTAGGCGGGAAAACTCAGTGTGAACTTATCTGGCTTTCTTTCCGCACTAATGAAAGTGTTTGGGATGGCTTGAGAGCAAAACGAGGCTTTCGGCCACAGCTGTCGTCTCCCTCCTCTATAAAAAGCTCCCAACTGTAAGCTCTACATCTATTCCTTAGCTTTTCGGCCAAACCATCTCTGCTTCCTCTTTCATATTCCGACTAAATTATGAGATATTCTTAACAAAAAATGCATTTTTTATTTTCTCCCTGCACTCAAAATTTCATTTTGAATGCTTAAGCCTCTGCTTTATCTCGTTTAACTTCGAAACCTCATCTGCCATTATCTTCTACATAGATTTTTGATTCTGTGTTTATTTTTGAAGTTCTAAGAGTAATGATTATGTTGCACGAGAGTGTTGCCCTCTGGAAATTCTGCCTGATTCTAGAAAAGCTCCGGGTTGAGAAAAGTTTTTATTTTTGGATATTTCAAATCATATCTTTAATAGTTATATTATTAGCACATAACTAATAAGAAAAATCTAAATTTTTTTTCACTTTTTTTAAGCCCATTTGAACCGTCATCTCTACAAACGCTGCTCTGTTTCTCTCTGTTTCTTTAGTTCTGCTAGATTTATACAGACTTCAGATCTGTTTGAAGGATGGGCCCTATGTCTTTGCCTCCTGGTTTCCGCTTCCATCCCACAGATGATGAACTGGTGGGATATTACTTGAAGAGAAAAGTGGATGGGCAAAAAATTGAACTTGAAGTAATTCCAGTGGTAGATTTGTACAAGTTCGATCCTTGGGACCTTCCAGGTACAAAATTACATATTTCAGCTCTTATTTTAATAAAAAACCTTTTCTCCTGATTAAAAATCATAACTTTGTTGTCAAGGAAAAACTTTACTTAATAACTTATCATAATTACATATCGAATCTCTCCATCCATAAACCTTTCATCTTGCTCTAACACTGCAGCTGTTCTCTTCCAACTAAAATTTTGTAATCATTCTGCAAAATTTCTGCTCCAACTTCTATCATTCTTGTTCTTCATTCTTTTCTGCAAGAAACCAAATTTATGCCAATGTTTGCAGAGAAATCATTCCTGCCAAAGAGAGACATGGAATGGTTCTTCTTCTGTCCGCGCGATCGAAAATATCCAAATGGATCTCGAACGAATAGAGCAACCAATTCCGGCTATTGGAAAGCTACCGGCAAAGATCGAAAGATCACCTGCGAGTTCTCGATCGAAGGAATGCGAAAAACTCTAGTTTTCTACAGAGGAAGAGCTCCGGGAGGAGAAAGAACTGACTGGGTGATGCATGAATATCGCCTCTGCGAACATCTTCCTCAAGGAACTGTATCTTTCATGGTATGCAAAATTACAAATTCATCTTTTTTTTTAACAAGAATGCAAATTTTTAAATGTTTCAAAAAGATTTATTTATTTATTCTGCAGGGAGCTTATGCTTTGTGCCGCGTAGTTAAGAGAAACGAGCATCAAGGAGTGAGTAAAGTAAAAAGAGTTCTTTTTTCTGTCACAAGTGAGACTAACAAGAGGAAATGCAATAGCAAGGTCTCTAGTAGTAGCTTAGAAGGAAATTCAGCACAAGTGGTAAACCTTTTAGATGTGAGCAACGGTCCAATTCATGCAAATTGTCTCAATGAAACCGACTTTGAGTTAGCCTCAAGTATGGTAGATGTTTCTCCATCTCAGTACCGGGGCCCGCTTTTTTCGTCTTATTACCCCCTCAAGGTTAGATTCATGACATTTTTGTGAAATTTAAAGCGAGAGCTAAAAAACAATCTATCGAATCATCATTTGTTGGTTGACTTAGTCTTATTTGAGATGTTAAATCTATTTTACATTACTTTTTACTTACTTTGCAATTGATATATTATTTTTCGTTCTAATTTATTTATATTAAGTTTATGACCACTCAATTCCTCTGTATTTACATATCTGACACTGCCGCCTTATCGATGCATTAAAAGTTATATGAAATATTTGAATGGTCTAAATGTAAGAAAGTGAAGTAGAGATATTAGATATGTAAATACATAGGAAGTGGGTGTTATGTATGTAAATGGCCAAAATTTCATCTAGTCATTTTAGTGTTGCACATTTTGTCCTTATTCATATGTCTCAATCATAAAATTTACGTTCTATTACCTTATGTTGATATTCTCACAATTCTTCTCATATAATCATTTGTCAACCATACCTTACAGGCTCATCTTGACTTTCTGTTCCAATGCCATGCAAGATAGTTGGTCTCACACATAAATTTTACGTAGCACACAATTATGCATTTGCATATATAATACTTAAACTTTTTTATTTTAACAGATATCACTCAAATATTTAATATCACATTAAAAATAACACTGTTATCATTTTTTAAAAATGAAATACACATTTTCATGCATAGGTTTAAAACACCTAAGTATTATATATGTGAATATGTAAAGTTTTGGCATGAGATACGTGAATACAAAAGAATTGTGTGCTACATATATAAATTTCTAATACGCATGTATATTTCTCATCAAAATATCTAAAACATGTATCAACATGCTGTGTAATTTACATATTTTTTACTCTATCTAAACCAATTTCAGGGCATTACTCTTGAAGATGACATATCTGAGCAAAATTTCCCAACTCAGTTTCCTTACTCCACAGAATCATGCCCAACTAATGGAATTTCTCCAGTTTCATCCTTCTCAAGCCTCTCTGAGGAAACCTTCTCCGTCGAACCAGTCGACGACGGAAACTGTTTCTCTACCATCTGCATGAGCCCATTTCACTCAATGAACATTTACCACCATGAAGAAAACTTGTCATTTCAGAACTTTGACTGGGTTGCTGACAGAAGCAATGGTAATTAAAAGCTGAAGCAGTGTTTAAGAGTATGGAACTGCACTTCACTTATTTTGATTGAATAAGTTTATTGCAGGATTTGAACAGTGGAATGCTGTGATATCTTCTCCATTATGTCGTCAAGAGAGCGGGGAAGAACAGAATTTATGGTCACAGGAAGATGGCTTGCTGTTTGTGATTTGAAGGATTATTATTATATATCTCTAAATTATGATGGATGGAATTAGTATTATGAATGTGAAGTCTTATAGTCTATTTGGGACAGCTGTCGATTATTTATAATCAGCTGATAAACAGATTATTCTGATAATTTGATAATCTGCAGCTTATCATAATAAACTGATATGTTGTTTGGGGGAGCTTATACAAAATAGTTTATTGACAGTTGTTGTTGGATAAATGACAATTCTGCTCATGTTTGGTGAAGTTGTTTGCAACAGAACTGTATGAAAGAAATAATAGACAGAACAGAAGCATCAAACTGTTATAGATCAATTCAATAAAACAAAATACACTGCTAATTTTCTCATGAGTATCAGAAGAAATAAAATAGAGAGAAATATAACTACAAGTACAATTAAAAATATTTAATTTAAAACTCTGACTCCATCTGTCCTCAGCTGCACTATCATTCTGGGAAACCATCGTACAACGATCATTGTCGGCAGCGGAGTATGTCGGAATGTCGGCCCAACGGACGAAACCGCATCAAGCTGAAACGTCACTCCGACAACCATTAAACTGTCTCCCACTTCTATGAGGTTGTCGTGACGTGAGTAAGGGAGCCGGCGATCCGTAGTAACACAGCACAAATCGAGAGGCCCTTGAAATCCTAGAGCTCATGCTGCTATTAAGATAAAACAACAAAAAATCATTTGTCAGATCAAAAAGTAAATTAAAGTTCTATATAACAACATGAGAACTGAACTAAACGGAAACTGTTTTGATCGAAATACGAATAAAAAAAAGTGAGTGTGCGGTCTCAGAGTAGTAATTACACCAACCCACGTGTCTGTTACTAAACGAAGACAGTGGACCTTCCAAAAAAAATGAGTTCTAGTTTGCTTTCAACCCACGTGGACGAACGTCCTGGGACACATGTGTCAATTACCAAAAAAGTCATCCAGTGGATCCTCACATACCGCTGCATTGCACTAACAAGAAGAGAAGACCTAAGTTGCCTTCTTTAGTATTCCACACACAATACCAACAGAATATAATCATCTTGTGCCAGATATGTATATCACTAAAAAAGGCCATCCAGATAAGTCCCCATAAGCGGATGCACCCAAAACAATGGAGGATATCGGTTGCATTCTTTAGGAATACACATGTAGCACTAGATAAGAACACCAAATCGGTCATCCAGAAGAACTCATAAGGCCATGTTTTCATCTCACAGGAAACAAAACGTTGAATGAGTTAAGAGTAAGTTTATGAGGCAGCACTTTTAGATGACATAAATAAGTTTCTATAAATCTGATGAGAATAAAGTTTTCCAAGACAACCCTTTTTAAGTTTGTCCTTGGAGATGCAATGATCAGAGCTTGCAAGTGGTGTGTCTGTTCACATTTGTTGTCTTGAGAGGGAGTTGTTTTATACATACCACTCAATTCCTATGTGTTTACATATCTAACGTCTATGCTTTACTTTTTACATTTATATCACTCAAATCTTTTATATCACTTAAATAATATGGCTTTTCGTGCATTGATAAGGTGCCATGCACGTAAAAATTGAACTTTAGCTGTTAGATATGTAGATACATGGGAATTGAGTGATTTGTATGTAAATTTTCCTTCTGATTTTTATGATGTGTGTTGCCTTATTAGTCTATCTCTGATGTAATAAAGGAAACTTTGAGCTTATGATAACTGCATGAATAATTTCAGCTTTGCTGAAAGTTTTCCGGTGGTTCATATTACTTTTCCTAGGACATTATAGAAAATTAAGATGCTTTTTAAGAAATATTGTTTTCAGAAATCTACTTTTAAGATAATGATAATCATTTTCAACCCTATCTTACAAAAAGAAGCCAAATAAAGCAATCCCTAACGCGTCATTTGGTTTATTTTGTTACCTTTTTGTGATAGTGTCAATTACTGATATGAAAGCATGTCGTTTGGCTTGAAAATTATGTAAGAGAATGTGAGGAGAAGGAGAGATGAATATGAGCAAAATACATTAATGATTAAAAACATTTTCAACCCAAAAGTTTATGATTGAAGGCCAATCTATCATTTTGTTTTTATACTAATTATTTTTTAACTATTCAATGTCAATGTCCTACGTGCGCCTAAGTTGTGAAACCCATTAATTAATTAAATGAAGCTAATATCTTAAACATCAAAATGCCTTTTAGAATAAGGGTTAAATTCGAGTTTCAACAGAAACTCCAAAGCTAATTGTGCTCGTGTGGAAGCACTCCTAGGATAAGTGATGTTTTAAGAAGTTATGCAATAGGACATAATTGTGAAACCTCGAGACCAAAGCGGACAATATCTCAATGGAAAAGAGTTTGGACTACTACAAATGGTATCAGAGTATACACCAGCCTGAAGATAAGAACCAAGTGTCATAGAAAACAAAGTGTTACGCCATGTGAGCCACCTCTTGAACCCAAGATGGAACAAAATGCTATATGGTGGAAGCCAACTCTTGAATTTGTAGAGGTCCATCTATAATCTTATTTATCTTATGGATGATTCTAGTTTAGAGCATTGACGAGAATATCAGTTACTTAAAGTGGTGAAACTAATCAAGTAAAATGAAGCTGGACTCTTAAATATCGAGGAGCTTTTTGGTGTAACGATTGGATTTTTAGTAAAAACTCAAAAGTAATAAAGCGTGCTCGTATGAGAGCACTCTTGGGATAAGTGGTCAACCTTTGAGAAGTTACACCAACGGAACAAAATTAAGAAGTCATAATGCCAAAGCTAGTGGGTGAGAGTTAGGGCTATTACATAAGCAATCTCACCTTTATAAGAGAGCGCTTGGTATACAAAAACGAAAGTTTTATAGAGTATCTTGCATGAAGAAAACCCACTCAATAACCCGCACTTATTCGTTAATATCTGCTCGGCATCTTCACCTTCTAGTTTCTCTCTGCTCGTTATTTTTGGCTTGATTTGCTCTCGCAATCCCATGTACTGCATACCACGCAACTTCAGCGCTCAGCCACAGATTCGGTTCCTCATGCTAAAACTACAGCCAACAGTCAACATAGCTTGTCTCAACTATTTCTCTCATGGGTCACAAACTGAATGGGCAAATTTATCTCCCAGGGAGAGAAAATCATGATGAAATAACAAAGCATTCTCATAAAATTTTGGAAAATTTTTTACTTGTTTCCCAAGATAAGTATACATTCAGCAAAAATTTCTCAAAGAAAAAAAAAATTCTAATTTTTCCACCACTAAAAATTTATGGGCACAAAAGAAACTTTCTGAAAATTACATGGAAAAGCTATTGATTGAGAATTAGGAGAGAAAAATTATGGATTATGAGCGACCAACATTGAATCTCAAAACCCATCTAACTACGCACTTCATTAAAATTAGAGTAAAAGGAAATGTTGACAAAGGTACTTTGCCAACTACAAATTTGCATGAAATCAATTGCCCAAAAATGTATGGGAAATGGCTTCAATTCAAAGATTCATAATATTAAATTATGGATTGTGGACTCAAGAGCTTCAAATCACAAGAATGGGGATATTTTACTATTTCATAAAATATCCTCATGTTTTAACAAATGTTTTGTATAAATTGAATGGCACGTCCATTGTTAAGACGAGTCTGATTTGTTGTCGAATTTGATTGGATCTCATCTTTGTGCGTGACTGCAACCATGTCACGTGCATTCCATAAATTTCCAAAATATACAGCAAAATACCAGTTTTGCATGTGTTTTCGACCAGATGCCTACATTGGCTTGATAGACTATCTTCCGTCGACCCGATCAATAGGCTGCCACTGGCCTGATCGATAGGCAGCCACCGGCCTGATTGATAGATCGATCAACCACCTTTTGTCAACCTAATCAATCGGTCGCCACCAGCACGAAAGATCGATCGACGATGCTTTGTCGACCCGATCGATCGATCGACCACCCTCCATCTATTTAATGGGTCGACCGCCACCGTCCCGATCGATTGATCGACCATCCTCTGTGGACCCAATCGATCGACCGCCACAGGCCCTATCGATCAATAGATCACCCTTCGTCGACTTGATCGAATGACCCCACAGCTCGATTGATCAATCGATCAATCTCACTTGAATTTCACATTGTTGCATGTTTTTCATTGTGTCTGCACTAGCATATTCACACTGGCACCCTTATGTGCACTTGTGAGCATGTGTCATCATATGCTCATAGTGAGTATTTGTGCCTCATTTGGGCACATTACTTCGTACATTTGCTTCTTGATATCCTTGCACTTGCATTTTTTCACTCTTGCATGTTTTCCTGCATAACATCCTATGAGTTTATGTCTTGCATGAGGTCTGCACACGAGTTTGTGTTCTCACGGACTCATTTCAACTATTCACTTATCCAATGAGAGGGTGGGTATCATTTCAAGCCTATCTGATGTTTAATTCTTCCTAATGATAATTGCTCTACCTCACTTCCAACGACACCACTTAGGAACGCCATAAATATGTCGCACTATGACACTTAGCATAGGTCACGCTCCTTAGCCCATGAACCTATCTATTGCAAATTTTCTATACACCTATACATTTCACATCATGTCACTTGGCATGGGTCATGCTTTCTAGCCTTTAAACCCGCTTAATGGATGATGTTTTTCTACCTTGCCCAGGTCATGATCCTTAGCCTCTGAAACCATCTGGTGCCTAAGTTATATTATTCATCAACCAATGTATCACCCATCGTTGTCGTAAGCATGTTCTTTTGCATGAAGCATGTGTTTGCCTAGTTGCTTGGCGCATTGCATATTGTGTATGACTACCATCTGTTTGTGTGCTTGGTCTCTATTGAGACAAGGTGTAATCCCTCTATGGTATCTTATACCCTAGGCAGCCAACCACAACATCACTTGTGCAATGTACCTTGCTTTCACATATTTGCACTGTTGGCGTAGTCGTCATTAAAATATGTTAATGTATACTTGTGATAAATATTTGTTATCCGGCGATTGTTCCTACCTTGATAGAGCGATCACATTACATTGGATCACTTTGCATCTGCATGTGCATTCACTGATTGTCTCAAAGACAAATCACACATGTTAGTTGAGTTACCTGTTATTGTTTGTGATGCTTTAATGAGCATTGCTCGTGAAGATATATCAATGAGAAAAGCAAATTTTTGCATCACGATCAACACACATATGTTTGTGCTAAGGTTTCGGGAGGTCTGATAAGTGCTATGTAGGCTTTTATTTTTATAAGAACTATTTTAAAAGTATAAAAATTAGTATTTTTTATTACTTATAAGAAAGTGACACCTCTTAGAATTCCTGAATTTTTAGAATGGGTTCGGGGTCGACGAACCAATCAGAAACATACACCAGCCTTTTACCCATACGTTTGCACACACTTCGATGTTTGTGACCAGGCCACCTTGTTTCTAGATGCTTGCTAGACTATGGCTAGGGTGTAGCTAGGTTTTTCATATGTTTGGCTATTGTTTTTTGGTTTGTTCCCTAGCCAAACATTTTTTTGTGTTGCTTCATGTGTTTACTGGGTGTGAGATATGCACACCAGTATATTAGGGGCGGTTTACTTGCATGGACACACGTTCAATAGGGAGGGACTGTTATAATTTTATCTAATGCAGTTTCTACACGTACTATTTATTCCCTCTCCTATCGGGCATAGTTCACTATGTTGCATGTATATAGCTTTTATGCTAGCCTGATTTTCATGCAAGTTGAGCCACTTTTTTAGACCTTATAATGTACGTTCTAGAGTCCCTAGGTAGAGTTTGTATCTTAAGGTACGAGCTTGGGTTCCAGGATACCTAATCATCGGAACCACATGATGGGGACTAAAAGCAACATGCTCGTGTCCCATACCTTAATTTTGAATTTTGAATTCTCTTAAGCGTATAATATTAGGACCAGATATATATGCGGTGTCTGATCGCCTTTTTGCTTTTCTGGAATATGTTGTTGATCTAGTGGCACTCAACATTTTTATTCTTTATATTTTGCTGGTTTACATTACACTGTGTGATGACAATTCCTCATTCTTAGTTTGTGATTTAACTAGGCTCATTGAGAATGTAATTTAGGATCTCTACAAATCTAAAATTATAACTTTTCTACAAAAGCTTAATAAAAAAAAATATCACAATTAGGTTTAAAACATCTCAACTTTTTAAACTATGTTTTATTTTTCTCCATGGTCTTCGGGTAGGATTTAAACGACATACATAGCATTAGCATAACTCAAGTCATCCGTAGACCTCCACATTAAGCCTTGTTAGCTAACTGCATTATATTTGCATGTCCCGAGGAGAAGTCCTTGTGCTTCTTCAATCGTCTGACCAAGCATAAGATTTCTACATAGGTGATTGTCTAGCGTGATTAGGGTGTTAGAGGCTTCCCAATCCAGAAGGGGAATATAATTTTGCAAGAGTGTCTCAGCTTCGTATCAGTTCCTCTCTTTTTCTTTCCACTATAGCATTTTCCTCGCCACTTTGACAGGTATAAGACCCACCTCTACTTTCTATCTATAGAGGATTATAAGATTTAGAATTTCCTTCTTTTGACCTTAGGGCTACTGAGGTTCACTTGGATAACATAATTCATGGATTGCTGACAAGGGAGTCTCTGTTAGGTTGGGTCGACCACCTTCACGACCAGGTAGATTTGGGGTTTTAATAGCTTGGGATGATGAATACATGGAATTCTAATCCGACTATCTCTACCCGATTAAGATTACTTTACCTCTCATTTGGCATACCCCCTTTGAGCTCTATCATTTCCTCGACAGCTCATCGATGTTATCTCGTAGATCCCGATTGTGGACAGACCACCGACTATTTTGGATACAGTGATTCACCCTCTACCGTTGTAGCTTTCTTAGGCCCGAAAGCATAGTGTGTATTCTATAAGACGACCGGTTATTTCATAGGCTCCGGTCGTCGATGAGCTATTATCCATTTGAGATCGTGAGAAGGTAATTCTATTTCCTTATGGATTAATGTGAACTCAGAAGGCATCAGAACACTCCTATGAAATGACCATCTTTTAAAACACACCTCTACTAATTATCACTTGAATGTAAGCAGGGTTCTTTTAATCGAGAGTATTTTTGGGCATCTCCCAATATGTAATTAAATAAAGAGATATGTCCATTTAGGAGTTGCTCTTAACTCCAGAACAAAACATTCTTTTTGGTTATTTGATTTTGGGTTACTTATGTATGAATTTTCTTTGTGCATGACATGTTTCAAGGTGTTTTCATCCAGTCTTGTTCTGGACGTACACTCTTGACCCATCATTTTTTCCAAAATTTACCCTACATAAGTACTCCACGTTCTTTTTTACAAAATTTGTTTGTCTAATTCAATCGTGTGTTCTCCATTTCTAGACCCTCCTCTTCTCTGAATCATTTTGATGATCCAAGAAAGAGGACTACTTGGATAGACAACTACACGAAATATAGATATGATGAATGATGATGACTCTGAGTTTGCAAAAGAAGCTAAATGGGAGCCACATGGATTTCTCATCACACAATGAATATTTTGATTAAATCAATTTTAGTGATTGTCCATCCCAGCAATCTATCAATGCTTCTTTTTTTATTACTATTAATTGTATATTAATTGACTGTTAAACATCAAAAAATACATATTCTTTTCTACAATTTTTAGCGAGAAATAAAATTGAAGTTTACTCTTCTATAACTTCTCTTATTTTAACAAAGAAAAACAATTTCTTTCTTGTCTGTAATATGTTTGAGCAATAACTCCATTAGTCACAAGACAAATATTTAAATAAAAGCCTACAAAGCTCTCCACCATCCCAATTGTTCTCTGTTTTCTCAGTTCTCTACTAGCTTTGCATTTCAAATCGCAACTACAGTTTCGTCCGAGGAATTGCTTTATTGTTATTTTCTATAAATTTTTTGTGATGCGAAGCTATTTTCTTAACATGACCCGTTAAATTGTAATGACTATAAGAAAGCTGTGATCTGAATTTTCATAAAAATTATATATATTTATAATTTCCACGATCGCTTTCTAACAAAATTACGTTCTCCACGGTAGCTTTATGAACCGCATTTTAAAACAACTACAACCACCCAAATTAAACTCTAACCCAATCAAATATCATAAAGAAACCAAACCTCATGAGCCGAAAGTCATGTAGCTCTAAACATTAGTAGTGCCTCAATGAAGAATCCTACGCATACTTACCTCAGCTGCAATTTATGAAAGAAACTAAAAGCAACCCACCACCGTCCTAGAATCTGAATTTCTCTTTTTTTTTTTTTTTTGCTTAAAAAAAAAATCCTTTATATGTGAAGTGAACATAATGTCACTTCTCAAAAGAGCCCTTAAGGGTGGTGGGCAGCCCAAGATTTAAATACTATTTTTGGCCCTACACCTAGCCGATGTGGGACCATTTGTCCGTGACAATAAGCTGCGATTATTTAAAAAGTTTTGTAAGTTGACAAAAAAAAGCAACGAGGCTTCATTATTTCTTTCATATGGTGATTAAAACAGATTTGTTTTGCTCACGAACAAACTTTGATTGATAATTTGGCTCATTTTAACTTGATTTAATTAAATAGATAATATTTTATGACATTTTATATTGAATTTTATATTGTATTAAAAAATGTTAAATTTTCTTAATCTTTAAATGGCCTTATTTTTTTGCATGAAAAAATTTATTTCACTTTTAAAAGTAAAAAAAAATGTGAAAAGTTTTATGTAGTATGAAAATTTTAAAAATTTTGGGTGGGATAAATATAAAATATAAAGTTTAAATTTTAAACATTTAAATACATAGAACTTAGGTGGTAGGTATGTAAATGGCTCTCACTCACACACATACACAAATACACAATATATATATATATATATGTATATATATATATATATATATGTATATATATATATATATATGTATAT